GAAAGCAAGGCTCTGTGAAATTAAATGGAAACGTCAGCTCTACTCATATCATTGTGGGAAAATTCTACTACCAATCCTTCCTCACCTTAAACGAAATAGGGTGAATACATCTCGTTGCCCTATCAGAGTCTTCCTCTTGCCCTGAAACATCCATCTCATGTCTCCCCAATTCAGTGATTTCGATCACTGCCACCATATCTGTGCTACTAGAGGCGTAATTTCCCATGATCTCGCTCAAGCTTTTGACAGCATGTATACTCTAGCCTTACCGAGAAGGCTCTCAAAACCAGGATTATCCAGCTTAATAAACTACCAAGGTAACACCAGTTTTCTTTGTCTCAGTTCGACCCGTGCACCGGGTACATCTCACGGCAAAACCTTTACTACTCCACCAACTTCTATGATTAAACCTTTATACTTGGCGCAAACTTTCTCTTGTCTCCACCACATCTCACGAGTAGAGCTCTGATCAAGTCGGCCTCACTCTTTAATCCATATTTCTAAATCTATGGCTTTCATGTCCCCTATTTCCTTGTGTACCAATATCTCAAATGCTGTAGCTGTTTGCTTGCTTCCAATAGGCCTACTGCATGTTTCTTTTGATTTCTGATTGCCTCTCGATGGCCCCTTCATTGCGATTCCTATTCTTTCCGTTAAGACTACATCCTTGGTCTAGTCACCTCCTTTTGCTGATCTTGCCGTTGCTTGATTTCTACCGAGTATGCTTAGGCAGTACGCAATTTTTTCGCTAATTCCACCTCCCAACCTCGTGTTCATTATATTTCTTTCAGTCAGGCTATCTACGGCTTCTATAATCTTGTCTTTCTTTGTATTTTCAGTTGCTGTCATTCTGTTGCCTTGCAGCCGATTTTGTGTTCCATCTATGCGATCTGTTCTGTTATTTGGGATATCTCCACATCCATGTTTCTGCATGGTCTCTAGAGCACCCTATTCTATTCAACCCTTATTTTTCTTTTTATTACTTCTTTCGAGTATCTGTTAGTAAAACAAATTCGAATCAGTTTGCTTATTTTTCAATCCATGAATTCAATGTCCACTCGTCCTAAACTTCTGTTGATCAAGCTCCACATTATTTCGATCTTCAATCTGTAGTTGTGCTACCACTGGAAATTTAGGATTTCCATGCGAATTCTTTCTGAATAGTCTCCTCTTTAGTTCCCCATTGGAGCAAATGACCTCAAGATCCAGGATAGGTAGCCAGTAATTCCTCCCCTCCACCTCCATCGCGAATTTGATCCTTTCATTAAGTTATGTTAATAAGTTCAGGAATTATTTTTTTTATCTTCCCTACCTTTAGGCCGAAGTGCAAATTAGTCACCCAGGTATCATACAAGCACTCTTTTTTGCAGCAGTGACTTTTAAAATTCTCTTTTTAATTTATCATTGTATTCAGTTGCCAAAATTAGTGATAGTGTAGATCCTATGGGTAGCCCAAAGTCGCCAATCGTCCTCTTCCTGCCAGTCCATGGTTTTCGATAGTTTGATAGATTTCATAAAAATTCTTCATGTCTACTCATATCATTGTGAAAAACTTTATTTATAATCCTAAACGAAATAGGATGAATACATATAATATATATGACCTAGTGGTAGTCTCGAAAGGCTACTTATAAAGAGAAAAATAAGAAACGCAATCGATTGCCATAGCAAAGATAAGTTTGCTTCATCGACAATCCCATCATGGTATGTGATATGGGAAAATGCCCGATCTTTCTTGAAGCTCACATCTGCCCTGTGACTCAAGGGCATTCGTGGCTTTGTGGCGTAGTGGTTAACATGTCGAGATTATGCGCTGCAGTGCCATGGTTTGAGTCCCGCTGACAGTGTTGCTAAGACCTAGGCGAGGTTGAAACTGCTGTCCACTCTGGATAAGAATGCCTTTTAGGAAAGCGCGGCTATGTCGAAGGTCAACTCATATCATTGTGGAAACATTCAGCTACCAATCTCAATATTACCCCAAACGAATGGGATGAATAAAGGCATAAAGCAGCCAAGCAAATCACGGAATGCCTTAAGAAGATTAAAAAGTTATTTATACGTGGTAAATAGAATCTCAGCCGGCCACCTTTCTTGGTTTAGTGTTTTTTTGTGGGTGTTCGTAAATGATGGTTCCTGACTTTGTGGATGTCTGTAACATGATAGAAGAAAGGTTAGCACGGATTCATCAGAATCGCAGGACGGTGAACCAATGTCTTCTTTCAACACTTCAACAGACGCTAGTCCAAGGCAACCCTCCTTCGCTATCCAGGGCGACCAATCTAAGCATCTCTTTCATCCGCCCCTTTCCAGACGAAATTAAATCTATGTCCGTATCAATCTAGTTGGAATGCGATCCGGCGACCTGCACATCCGCAGCACGAAGAATGGGGAGATAGCCTTCGAGGTGAAGCATTATCTCGAAACGAAAGGTGACTGTGGATAGTGGAACAATTTCAATGGAGAAGAGCAGATTTTCATCGCATAGACGAATGAGTTGGTACAACGGGTGCTGTCAAGCGAGTAACAATATCTGTGGATGTAAATGCTAAAGTGTGATTTCTGGTTTGATCGCACTATCCTCGCTATCTCCCACTCTGTCTTCCCATGCCTTCTTGCCGCCTCTACTCCTCGTTGGATGAATTCGCAGACGCTGCACCTTCCTCGGCACCAAATTACGTCTGATGCCAAACCGGCTGTCTACGCACACCGCCATTAAGCATAAGTGGGAGGTGCTACAAACTGTCTGCACCATAGCGGGATCTGTTATGGCCACTTGATCCTCCATTGCTCCAAGAGAGGGGCACAGTTGACCCTTGGCTCCATCTACCCGACATCACCTGACTACCATAGACAAGCTAGGGTAAGATGAAATATAAAGGCAAGACTATGCAACTTCATATACACACACACATACAGCAAAAGCAAATATTCGGATGTATGTGTGAGTGCTGCAGGTACGTATGGGGCCCAAGGATCTGAGCTTCCAGTCACCTTAATCCCTTGGCCGCGTCATGTCATACCGGCTGGACACTCTGGACCGCCGTCGCTCACTTGGCACCGAGCCCTGGACTTCCACGAGTCGAGTCGAGATAACCAAACGCCTGTCTATCATCTGGTTTGTGACCTGTTGGTATGCTCTTTCGTTTTGCAAGGGAATTTTGCAGATTTTCACACGACGTCCACATGCTCTACATGACAAAGTAGAATAATCTTAGACCACGACTGAACAAAGGCCACACCATTTTGGTCTTTATGGCTATAATCCTATTATGAGATGTACTCACCCAATTTCGTTTAAGGTAATGAAGGACTGGTAATGGAATTTTCCCACAAACATATGAGTTGAGCTGATGTTTACATTGAATTTCACATAGCCTAGCTTTCCAAGAAGGTGTTCTCATCCGGGCCGGAGTGGACTGCAGTTTCGACTTCGCATCGGTCTTATCAACAGCCTCAGCGGGAGTCGAACCGTGACTGTGCAGCATATGAGTTTGACACGTTAGCCACGAGTGTCCTTGGGTCACAGGGCAAATGTGAATTTCAAGCAAGGCCAGGCCTTTTGTCATATCATATTCTTTGGTGGGATTGTCGATGAAGCAAACGTATGTATGCTATAACAATCGACTATGTTACTTTATTTTTCGCATTTTAAGTATTGTATTCATCCCATTTCGTTTAAGGTGATCAGGGGACTTGTAAATGAATTTTCCCACATTCACTTAAATAGACCTTACGTTTCCGTTTAATTTCACATAGGCTTGCTTTCCAAAAAGGTGTTCTCATCCAGGCAGAAGTGGATAGCAGATTCGACACTCAGCGGAACTCGAGCCATGACAGTGCAGCGCATAATCTCGGCATGCCAACCACTATGCCACATTGTCACGAGTTCCTGTGGGTTACAGGGCAGGTGTGAATTCCCAGTAGGGTCAGGTATTTTCCCATATCACATTCTCTGGTTGTATCGTCGATAAATCAAAGTTATATTTGCCATAGCAATCGACTGTGTTACTTATTTTTCGTCTATAAGAAGGCTTTCGAGACTATCAGTAGATAATTTATATATTAAGTTTATTAATTTATACGAAGAAAAGTTGGGTTTCGAGCAATCTCTTGTTTCATAATTGCTGTGCTTGCTTCCATTTCGAGTGAAAGTGTTTGGTGAAGTGATTCGAAGGTCGGTTCCACCAGAAGACGACGCCGCATTCCTCCTGACCAACTGTCGATTGACTTTACTGGAACATTCTAGTTGACGCTGTTTCCAAGGCAATACACTTCGATTCCGGTGAAAAGGTGCTTAGTTTTCGTGCATCATACACGAACATTATCCGAGTTTTCTTGACTCGTTAGCTTGAATTTGGTTGTGACGATGATACCTTGCTCTGATGATGTTCGTCATGTGACGCACC